ATGGGTAGGGTCACGTGACTTGGGTCAGGAGAGGGTCATTGATAATGTTTACGATGGGTAGGGTCACGTGACTTGGGTCAGGAGAGGGTCATTGATAATGTTTACGATGGGTAGGGTCATGTGACTGGGGTCAGGAGAGGGTCATTGATAATGTTTACGATGGGTAGAGTCACGTGACTTGGGTTAGGAGAGGTTCATTGATAATGTTTACGATGGGTAGAGTCATGTGACTTGGGTCAGGAGAGGGTCATTGATAATGTTTACGATGGGTAGAGTCATGTGACTTGGGTCAGGAGAGGGTCATTGATAATGTTTACGATGGGTAGTCACGGCGGCTTAATTGAGGACGATGTGAACGATGTTTAAATAAAATATTGATTTAGATGATTTACCTTTATCTAGCAAGCTTCATGACTACTTGTTTGTTTTATTCATATGTTATACTTTGTTGTAGAACGTTTTCCATACATAGAAGTTCATACATCTGTTGCCCTGAGTTACAGTATGACATCATATGATCATATGTGGTGAAAATATTGGCTTACAACCATTGGCTATTTAGTAAATATGTATCTTATTTAACGAAATATCTATCCGAGACAAACTTGACAAAACAACAAAGTGAAATAATTTCAAGTTTGTTTCTCTTTGACCTAAATTTAAAAAAAAAATGTAAGCTTCAATTTTAATTTTTCAAAGCGAAATAGCCCTAGCAAAAGTGTTTAAAGAATAAATCAGTAGTTTTATATCTTAGGTTCAGGAAAAATAATTCCATGCATATTTATATATATATATATAAAGATAATCTGAATTTACCTGAGAGGAATTAAAAAAAAAAGTATCTTTAATGTGTTATTAAAGTAACTCAAAATAGCCAAGGGAGGTGACAATGACAAAACTTCCGATGAAATTATTTCATGTTTGCCTCCCTTGGACCGTGATGCTTCAATTTTCAAGTTCGAAACACTATAGAAAAAAGAATAAAAAATAATTACATAACTGCTTATCAAAAGCTCAGTAATTTCGTGACGATTTAAAGAAAAAAGTTAAATTACTATCACAATCATTGAGTAGCCTATAATAATGTTTTATTAATTTGCATGTTTCCTAAAAATATAATCTTTTTTGCTAGACTTTTCAAAATAATCAAAATAATCTGAATTTAATCGTGGGCTATTAATTAAATATGTATATTTGATACTGACTCAAAATATCTAAGCGAGACAATCCCGTATAAACTACAAAATAAAATAAAAGAATTGTTTCCCTTTGACCAAATATTTTAGTGTAACTATGTTGAAAGGCTTTTTTTATTTGACACACTCAAGTAGGCATATATAAGTAAAAATTTCAGTATTTTCAATAGTATATTTTTTATCAACATTCCATTGTTCGACTGATCATAAATTAGACACTGTAGCAGATCTTGGATAACAATGCGAAAATATTGAATTTTTAATTAATTTTAACTTAATTTTAAAGTTACTATATTCAGATAAAAGGGGAGATAACGAAAACAAAAACACCAAAAAACTATGGATTGCTTAGTCAGAGGACATTCGAGGGTGACTCTTTTCTGTTCACGGTTTGCTGATTTCGTGCCCTATCAGCAACCACCAACTAATTAGGAGTAGATACCTCAATGACTAAAATTAGGAGACAGTTAATAGTACACTAATTTTCATTGCCCATAAAACTTTAAATCTAGATGATGCATATCATAAAAAATTGAATTTTTGTAAATAATCATCTCGTATTTGTCATCTTGAAGATTTGAATTAACATTCTCTATTTTAAAATGAGAATTAGTTTAAGAATTATAATTTTTTGTATTATCTAGGAGCAGTCATATTTATTGTTGATCTCTAAGTCCCATTGCTTTTAGAAATTATTTTTTTTTTGCAGCTCAATTTAAGAAAAAAAATTAAGTACATGAGAATTTGATTTCTAATTTTTAGACCATTTAGATTTATTACCCCCCATCACCACGCCCCCAAATATTTGATTTAAAATACACAATTTACTTCTTGCAATAATACGTAACAATTTACAAATTATTTGGTCATCAATACGGGAAAAAAAAATTCAGATTTTACCATATATGTTTAAAAATAATTACATGTAGGCCTATATCAATTTTATGCTTTTGGTCTTAGTTTTAAAGAAATCAACAACACGCAAGTTTCTTTACAACGCGCGGAGATTTTATAGCTCAAAAACTGCATCCTGGTCAGGTAATTTACACTAAATACAACAAACATTGACTTGCATTCAGAAAGTTAAAATGAGTGCGTAATTCACCATCAACGCCGAGATGTACAATGCTCACAATTCTTAACGCATGTAAAATCCGTTTATATATATATATATATATATATATATATATATATATATATATATATATATATATATATATATCTAAGAAAGAGAAAGGAAAGCATTTATTAATATAAGAACTTGAGTAATTGATAAACAAACTATTTAAGATGGCTTTACTAATTATTTGACAAGACACAGGTAAACGTCATATAGACCAGCTCATTAAGAAATACTATGTATTTATTTATTTGTTATATTGATTAATATAAAGCCAATCAAGCCTTGTATAAAAATGGATATAGGCACGGTTTATAAACTGCAAAGTTATATTTGTTATATTGATAAATGTACAGCCAATCAAGCTATATATTAAAATGGATATAGGCATGCTTTATAAACTGCAAAGTATTTACTTTTTCCTACCTGACTAATGCACATTGATGAGTACTTGATGAAAATACATCTCAAGTGATATTAATAATAAATGTTTAATTGACAATTAAACATGGCGCTGATTTAGTATGTAGCGATTATAATATTTTGTCATGATTCACACCTAACACCGGATAGTATCATTAACATATATCGTTGCATAGATTTAATGAGTAGGCTAACAGTTATACACTGTAATACTTGAACAACCTCCCCCCCTCCTCTACGGCTGTCATGAACACATTCAACTGAGAGTCAACCCCCCCCCCCTCCCACCACCACCACCATAAGGATGTCATGAACACAGAACACATTCATCACAGAGACTCATGGCCGATATCTTACACAAGGATTTTATTTCACATTGGACGTCATATCATGGCCGGTCAACTTTGTTTAATTCTTATCCTTTTCACTGGTAGGATGGCGTTATTTAACTGTTATGTAGCATGATATTCAACTTTATTCAAGTTTTAAAGCTGTATTTACTATTTTATTTAGTATTTTACTATTTTTAAATTCTTTAACTTGTCATTTTTTATAGCTCTTTATAGAAATGTTATTAAAGAAACTACCTTTTATTTTTTAAACTGCAATTCATGTATTTTGCCATTACAATTTTCGGCCCTTAGAAGTTTGAAATAACTTTGAACGAAATCAATTCTTAAAAAAGCGGCGGCGTTTGTGTATGTATGTGGCGGGGGGGGGGGGGGGGTGAGTCCAAACCATATTGTTATAGAATTCAAGCAAGACAAGCAGCCGCTGAGCGTGTCAATAACAATGAAGGCACGTTCTTAGCTGACCGCCTAATGTGTTTGTGTTAATCTACTGGGTCAAGCAGTCTCAAGAGCTGTGTACAATTGTGACAAGTTTACACTGAGCGTCCTGCTTGCTTTAATGTACTAGCAAATACATTTGGTTCCCCGTGTCGTCTGTAGACCAACGAGCTTTCTGTAGAAAAGTTTAGTCTACAGCGAGAACATTGTTTAGTAACATTCTCAAACTGGATGAAATATAGTTAACTAGTTAACTGCAATCCACATGCATCAAAATACAGACAAATAATACGGCTCGTAGTTTTTAACAAACAAAATATTCAGCCTGTTATAAATAATATATAATATTATGTACACACACATATATAATATATATATATATATATATATATATATATATATATATATATATATATATATATATATATATATATATATATATATATATATATATATATATATCATAATCCCTAGTTATCATCAACCCATTCTGATGTAGATGATTACACTACACTAATCTCATTTTATGGATCAACGTTTTGATCATCTAACTTTCTTCTGAACTAAATTAAATATTTCAATACGAAAAACGCACACAAACAGTTTTTAACAGCATACAATATAAAATACGAAAAAGGAGACAATAAAAAAAAATAATGGTAAATATCAATCAGACAAAAATAGTTAACTATAATTATTTACGGATTATCACTGTACAGTAGGATTATAGTCAGTTAATGCAATCATACAAACTTAAGTGTTTGAAAAACAAATGTATTTGTTAGCTGATTAACACCTTATAAATATTGCATGGATAAAATAAAAATAAACTATATTTTATGCTAAACTTGTGATTGTTCTTTTCATGATTCTACAGATGTTATACACCAAACATCGTCCGAATTACAATCACACACTGTGACTTTAAATTGTTCACCAACATGTCGGGCTACATCGGACGTACCCATCCATTGTTTTCAAGGGAAAGGTGTCTACATAGCTGATGTTGTGCTACTCAGTCAAGTAAGGATACATAGAATAAAAAAGATATAGTAATAAAAGCTGTGTTATTGTTATCTATGTATACATGAAATGTTTTTAATATAAATAGCTACATTTGTTTGGGTTTGAAACTCTTTCGGTCTCTGTATGCATATATATATATATATATATATATATATATATATATATATATATATATATATATATATATATATAAATATAATATATATATATATATATATATATATATATATATATATATATATATATATATATATATATATAATTTCGTGATCTATAAATGATATATATAAGCAAATGTGACACACATTGATTTTTTGTTTTTAAATGTGTAAAATAAAATCTTCACGTTAAAGATTATGAGTAAAATCTTCCGTTATTCATAGAGCACTAACAAAACAACAGAAAAAACACTACAAACTACAATCAGCAGGATGTGCAATACAAAAGCCGAATGTGAAAGGGATGAAATAGTAAATAAGTCGTCAACAATTCTCTCTCACTACGGCTTGACTAATGTCACTATAACATATCAGTGCAAACCATTCTGTGAGTATTTATTATTTCTTAAACATGATATAATGGAGCGATTTAAAAATTTTAAAAACTTTAACATAAATGTACTAAAACTGCGTTGGATGTATTGCATGAATTAGGGTTAATGAAGCCATGAAATATGTTAACCGAAATATATTTCACGTTATTTTCTCTATGGACCATGACGGTCTATTGAAGTAGAGTTCACCTGTATCTGTGAAGTCTTCATATGAAGGGATAGTGTAGTCAGCACTATACCAAGCTTCTTTTACTTTCTCCTAACATGAGTTCGGGTCCCATGAGAGCTGGGTGGACTCGTGGACACTCTACAGGTTGCAACCCGCAATTGAACTCAAGACTTTATGGTTAGCAGTCTAACTCTCTACTACTAGGCCAGGCCGTCCCAATTGTTTCAATATGTAACATCAGATATCTTTTGACAAATATATGCTCATCCCGGAAAACATACAAAGGAATCAATTACTTTGATGTTTTGAGTACTTATTTGCGCGAAAGTAAACATTGCAGCACTGTAAACAGTAAAAATCGTTAAATTAATTCAACACTTAAAATATATACTAATATATGTTTTTAATAAACGTAAATTGAAATAATTTGTACACACCAACCTTTCTTCCAGATGATGGTGTTATAACTTTGACGGATGTTGTTACAAAAAACGTCACTTATTTAAAGGAACCGACATACATCGTGGCTAGACCTACACAGAAAGTGGTGACCAAATGCCACATAAAGTCAGTTGAAACCAATAAAAATATGACGATAAACCGTCTTCATCTGCAGTTCAATGAGTCTGCTCTGTCAGAAAATGACACGATCAAATTTGTAGCGTGTAATAAGACGTGGGAATATAATTCCTTCAAGTAAGAGGCACGCTGATAAGTCTGTTTACGTTTACAAAAAATGTTTTTTTTTTGTTTTCTGTTTACAAAGCATGTTTGTGTGTTTTTCTGCCTACAAAACTTGTTTGTGTGTTTTTCTGTTTACAAAACTTGTTTGTGTGTTTTTTGTTTACAAAATATGTTTGTGTGAATGTTTTTATGTTTAGAAAACATGTTTGATTGAGTGTTTTTCTATTTATAAAACATCTTTGAATGAGTTTTTAATTAAATGTAAAAAAAGAGGTGTGTGTGTGAGTTATTTAATGTTTACTAAACATGTTCGAATATTTCGTTTTATTTTATAAAACAAGTTTGCCATGAGAAGGGCTGATTTTAAAGTTGCATAAGCGAAACCAATTGTCATAAAAGGTCTAGGGATATTTGAATACTTCAAATAGTTTTGATCGAAAGATTAAAAAAAAAAATGTTTCTTTATTTAAAGTAAACGTTCAGAAAGCATTTGGCCGATTATTGATACATGCAATGATGTAAAAGAATGCGAGAATGTATAGTTCACTCACCAATAGGGCTGGTAAGTAGGTCACCAACAAGTTCTACGGCTCAATAAAACCTGCATGAGCCATAGAACTGGTTGGTGACCTACTTACCAGCCCAATTGACAGTTAAAACGATGTAAACCAAAACCGTTTCAGCCGCACCCTGCCACGTAAGCTGACGTGCCCGAGGCTTGAGATGGAGGTGCGGCTAACCCTGGGGGTGTTCTGGTTGGAGATTGACGGTAAATCTTTGAGTCACGTGTTAGGGTTCTTTAATATACACGGCTTCAATAAGATGTTGGGCCTACTTGTGAAGTGATGTGAATGATAGAATATATTGCCACTATATACGTTTTTTGTTATATACGAATCAATAATTACAAATATTATATATATATATATATATATATATATAATATATATATATATATATATATATATATATATATATATATATATATATATATATATATATATATATATATATATATATATATAGTTTATTATATAAACTAATATTTGTTTATAATTCATGGTTCCTTTACGCAATCAACAGCAAAGGGACATTTTCAAATTAACTGCATTTTGTATCAACAAGACACAGAAGCAGACAGACGTATGTATCTAACTTTATAAACACATATTGCCATCTAGTAGACAGACGTATGCATCTAAGTTTGTATACAATTATAAATGAGATATTGAGATCTAGCAGGCAGACGTAATTATCTTTGTACACAATTATGATGACACTAGGCATGCTGCCCAGCTTCGCTTAGGCTTTCGAAAACATTGAGAATTTGAATGCTTAATTAATTCGCCCGAGGGTCGGTCTACGACCTCAAGAGTTATGAAGAGGTTCCTCCGTGGACATTTTTTTTCGATTTATAGCTCATATAAGGTACCGGTCAGTCGAGGTCAGTTTTGACCCCCTCATCGTAGACTTTTCGGCCAACCGGCCCCCGTGTTCTGTCGCCCCAAGGCAAGATCCTGCCAAATTTGAAGCGTCTGCGGCGCCGGGAAGTGCCCTATCGGACACCCGACAATCTAGATCTAGATCTAGATTCCTAAAAGAATTTTTTTTTAAGTTTAGCCCGAGCATAATTTAAAAAAAAATACATTAACCAAGTTGACTTGGTGTGTCTCGAACCCGCACCACCTGCGTGGTTTAATGTACACTAACATCTCCGCTATTAAGGCACCTTATAATGTACGGAGAATGAAACACGTATTTTAAAATCTTAACTCTTAACTTACGCGTATATGCCTATTCTTTCAAATTAATTTTTTTATCCCAAATTAGCCAGTTCCAAACAAAGATTTTGTATAAAATAAATAAGTCTTGAAATAGTTTAGTCCTAATATAGAAATTTATTTTTGGAATTGATTTTAGAGAAGTTAGAGTCTAAATCTAGATCTTAGCGTCTACGTCTAGATCTAGTTATTGCGTAGATTTAGATTTAGATTTAGTCTAGATCTAGAATCTCTAGATCTAGAATCCAAATACATAAAATAAATTTTATGAGTTTAGGCCGGAAAAATTGTATTGTATACATTTCATAGTGTACGTAGATCTAAATCAAATTTGAATGAAATAGTTCATTTCTTTTCATTCTAAACACGGCAGATGACGTCATTAGTTAATGTATAAGTAATAGTGACGTCACAGTTTTATGCGTTCTTTTTCACATATATTAATGCTTTTCCGGTTGCATAAATAATACTGTTTCTCTACATTCGAATACGCCTTTAATTTTTATTTTTCTTCTTTAAATAAAATTGTGGTTATACATTTAAAACATCTAACATATTATTTTCAACAAAAGTCCGTAAAAAGTTCTCGATATATCGCTGCCGATTCTGACGTGATGTCCGGCGAAATTTTTTTGCGGACAGACAGAGAGAGAGAGAGAGAGAGAGAGAGAGAGATGTGCGAACGTGGGGATTTATATATTAGGATATTACATATGTATGGAAACCGAGTTTAAATACGTAATATGCATACATATATATGTTATTTTGTTCTACCAACTACACGTTTGTATATTTCGCAGACACTGAAGAACAAGTTAATAGAGATCTAATTTTAGTCCTGGTGGGCGTGGTCGCTGCCGTGATAATTTCTCTAGTCCTTGGGCTCTGTGGGGTCTACGTTTACCGACTGTAAGTAGGATAGTTAATACTTTTGTTTGTTGGTTAAGCGCTTTTTACATAAACCACAAACAACATTTCTTAGTTCATTTTCTTAGTGTTTTTTATGCAAGGCATGATTAACTTTGTGAAATATAAAAAGTTTATTTTAATGCTGCGACTGTTTATTTCTCATTATTGTGCGGGTAAGCACATGGTTGCTAATATGAAAGTCCCGAGTTCAAACTCATAGTAATATGTAATCCATCTGTAATTTAATGGCATTATTACAATTACTTATTTTTTTCAATAATCGTTTTACAAGAGAATGAAACAATGTATATAAGTGGCTCCCTATTCAGTTATATGCCCTCAACACTGTCATTAAAAAATTTCACGCTGAGGCTAATTGATTCCAAGCAACTTGTTAGCCACTAGACAATCCCACTTATACCACGTGACATCCTAGTCATACCACGTGTCACCCTACTCTACACACGGACGTGAAATATCCACTACAATGTTACAAACAGCGCGTTATTTTAAAACACAGTCACACACTTAGGCACGTTTTGAAGTGTTTCATAACAGGCTATTGTTTGAGATTATTTCATAAACTATGAGGACAGAGAAAAGCTGAAATATCACAAACAGAATGTCACTTATCATTAACTAAAGGCCCATATAAAAAAAATTAAGCTGAGAAGGGCTCTAAAATTTTATCATAACCTGGAAATCAAAATAATATCGAAAATTGTATTGTGGGAATGGGATTTAGGCCATGTGAAGTAAAGTCAAAATATACCTAAATAGTAAATATACATTGGATGGATAATCTTGAGGATAGTAAAAGTCAAATAAATAGATATATTTATTGTTTAAAAAAGACGAAATATTTTTTTAGGAAATTTCAGAAAACGGACAGACCCACGCCCACACGCACAGAGGACAGCCACAGTGTTGGTCAAGCTCAACCTTTTAACAATGTGAGTTGGCGCGTGTTTCTATTTTACGTTTGAATATAACAGCTACAATTGTTATCCCATTATATCCATTGTATCCGTTATATCACCATTATATCCGTTGTAACTCCTTTATATCTCAATTATTTTATAGTCTAGAACACTCATTGTTCCTCAAGATATTCTCACGTTCTAAATGTTGAATAAACTTTTCTATTAAATTTGTGTATTAACCTCAAAATATATTTATAGCTTTTTAATTAATAATCCATCCTTTTGAAAATAGCCAACTAAACCAAATAATGTATCTTTATTTTTAAAATAAAATGTTTTAAATTAAAAATTGTTTGATATAATTTAATCCTGTTATTGTTTTGTTCAATCGAATTTAAAATCCCGCAGGAATCATCACCCTGTGTTGACACGTCGACAGGGACACAACCCATCTCTCCATCGGCTGACTGTTATTCTTTAGCGACACTAGCCGTGACAGCCAATCACGATACAGATCCAAACCTCACCAGTGTAAAGCTCATCGATGATTGTTATAGCACCTGCTCGGTGGTGACGTCACAGTCGGATCACGACTCGCACCTGTCGTCCAGACCAGACGCTACGTCACTACCTCGACACTCACACACACCTGTGGCTGACCAGCAGGTGGTGACCTCCAAACACGACGCCGCGTCAAAACAATGTATAGACAGTGTACCGCGTGATCTGCAGACCGTAGAGTATCACCGGAAGTACCAGTCAAGTGATGACGTGTATTCCAACAACCAATCAGAGGGGGATTGCTCACGTTTCTCCGCCGCGCTTCAGAAATGGAACTCACAGTCAAGGTAAAGGTCACTTGTTCAAACGAGCACGCAGAAGTTTCGTGTAAATGTATGAGTGCAACAAAGTGGTCAAATAGTAGAAATCCGAGTTCAGATCCTGGGTTCGAGTCCGTACTAGGTCACCGAGTCCACCCATCTCTAATGAGCACCTGACTCACGTTAACGAAAGTAAAGGCAATTGGGCATAGTGCTGATTACATTATCCCTTCATATTCCTAGTTAAAAGAAAAAGGTGAACTCTACTTCAGGTTTGAAAGGGTATTTGACTTAACTACTGACAGTAGCCTTTAGCCTCAAGGGGAATTAATCATGTAAATTAACTAAGGCTTTTGTTTTTGAAGATGCATCTTAGCTAAACCGATTTTTACCTCCCCAGAACATCTAATCAACTAGCTTTAGACGACAGCAACACGACACCACACCAACCACCACTAGCCAACAGCACAGTCTACAACAGCCTGAACTCTTTAGATGGGACGTACACACACCTGAAGCACGTGAACCCACCTGAGAGGGTCATTGATAATGTTTACGATGGGTAGGGTCATGTGACTTGGGTCAGGAGAGGGTCATTGATAATGTTTACGATGGGTAGAGTCATGTGACTTGGGTCAGGAGAGGGTCATTGATAATGTTTACGATGGGTAGGGTCATGTGACTTGGGTCAGGAGAGGGTCATTGATAATGTTTACGATGGGTAGAGTCACGTGACTTGGGTCAGGAGAGGGTCATTGATAATGTTTACGATGGGTAGTGTCATGTGACTTGGGTCAGGAGAGGGTCATTGATAATGTTTACGATGGGTAGAGTCATGTGACTTGGGTCAGGAGAGGGTCATTGATAATGTTTACGATGGGTAGTGTCATGTGACTTGGGTCAGGAGAGGGTCATTGATAATGTTTACGATGGGTAGAGTCATGTGACTTGGGTCAGGAGAGGGTCATTGATAATGTTTACGATGGGTAGTGTCATGTGACTTGGGTCAGGAGAGGGTCATTGATAATGTTTACAATGGGTAGAGTCATGTGACTTGGGTCAGGAGAGGGTCATTGATAATGTTTACGATGGGTAGGGTCATGTGACTTGGGTCAGGAGAGGGTCATTGATAATGTTTACGATGGGTAGAGTCACGTGACTTGGGTCAGGAGAGGGTCATTGATAATGTTTACGATGGGTAGTAATAAGTCGATGTAAATATTTTCAATTGTTGCCATGGTTACGTCTTTCGATTGTCTTGTTGTTATATAGATTCATTTATAATCCAATATGCAATATTTGTTTTTAAAATGATTTTGGACAATTGATTTGTCCAAGTTATGATCCTTTTAATAGCTTTCACACGATACATAGTCGGTTAGTGTTGGAGAAATAGTAGTGTTAAAGAAATAGTAAAATACATTTAAAAAAACTTGTGTTGAAAAGGCGTGTTATTTAGTCATGAATGGACTTCATGTTGAATAGATGTGTGATGTAGTGCCAGAACATTCTGTTTTGGATTAAATGTAATACCACATCACAATTCAAGAAAAAAAAAATAAACAGGGAGTGATCTCCCCTAAACTTTCTCGAATATTCTTATATAAAACAACAGGGGATGGGAACTCGGGCTATGGACATGATTTTTAATCCATTTTAAATACTTTAAGTTTTAAAAATAGAATAAAATCTCGTAGACAAAAGAATTGCACACCAAGTGAACGTCAAATTAAAAAAAAGTGTAAAATAGTGCGCAATATTATTAGTACTTTAAAAATTTACATTAGTTTTTTGAGAAATCAGAAGTAGCGTAAATTACTACTTCCGGTCAACGGATATTACTCAAAATTTAACAGAAGGTAGAGAATTAGATCTTTTACTAACATGTGAAATTTCATTTATCTATCTGAAATAGTACACAAGTTATAGGCTTTTGAAAAAATTCAAAGTAGAAAAAGTACCACTTCCGGTTATCGGAGATCGCTCAAAAGTTGATACGGATCTACGATTTTGATAAAATACTTATATATGAAATATTTCATCAACCTAGCTGTAACGGTACTCAAGTAATCGTGTTTACACACAGACACACACACAGACAGACACAGACATACGGACAGAATTGCAAAGTCCAGTTTTTCAGACTGGATTACGCATAAACCCTCTTAATTTTGATAAATCTGGATTGATAAATTCTGCCCGATTAAAACGTCCTCTATACTTCGGATGTGATGAAGGACTGAGGTGTAATACAGTGAAAATTGTTAAAATTTCAAGTGATTTTTGTGCACGATTACAATACTTTCTCTATTCTTCGTATATACTAGAAAGTAAAAAGATGCTTTACAATATTAATGATCCTAATTCATGCCATCAAAACTATGTGAAGCTTGAAATGTGTCATACGACATGTTCGACTTCTTTGATTTATGTTTTCAATAAAACTGGTTAGGATTTTGTATCAGATTGTTAAAATTTTGTGTTTCAATGTACATATATTGTTACTAATTTCATTGGCTGTTAATGTTATAGTTTTTACCAAACCATGTTAAGTAATTATGGACCTTCAGCAACGTTGGATAATTTCTGAGTTTGGCTTGTGAACTGGCTAAGCACATATTAACAAAGTGTGGTAAACTCCAGTCGGGTCGTTAGTAGTATAAATACTGAAGTCTATTGTATACAACTTGTGCTATTAATTACAATTTAAAAAGTTAACATGTTAATTAGTCAAGTTATCTGTTTATTTGATTTATTTTAATATTTCAAAAATGCATAATATATATAATAAATATTTAAATGTATAGGACTTTATTCAGTGTTTAATTTTTCGAGTGGGATGGCGTGGTCGAGTGGTTACTACCCTGAAGTCTGAGGGTTCAATTTGAAAGCTTAAGTCCCATAACTGATGAGTACCCGAATCGGGTAAGTAAAGACATCTGGGTATAGTACTGACGACACAATGCATTGAAAGGCCGATGTCTCACATGAATTACATCCCAAACATCGAGAACTTATTTTATTATTCGTTAGTCTACTAGCTGGTAAGTTATTTGGTAAACAGATATATTCTTTCATCGATCGCCAGCAGGAGTCAACGACATTGCATTTGAACGAAACTTTATTTCAATGGTATTGCTAAATGGTTGGTTATGAGTTAAATGTGTATCACACAAAGGTTAAATAAACAACAATCTTTTAAAGTGTTTTCAATCAGTAGAAACCGTGGCGGAAAAACTACTGTATTCCACAAACAATAGATAAGGGTAAACTTAGTTTCGAAATCTCAGAAAAGTAAGTCATTTCCGCAACCTTAATTCACAACTCCCCCCCCCCCCTTCCCACCCTAAAAAAATGGACTTTCGTGCTTTCTGTTGCTAATTATTGAAGTGTTGTCGTGTGATGTCTTTAATCAAGACTTCTAATGTTATTTAAATCTGTGTATTGTAAGATAGCAACGTTAAGTGGGCGTTTCCTAAGGATATGTCACACAGATCAGAGGTTAAAAGTACTCACGCAAGTAGGGTAAACATGGCTAACATATAATGTTATAGCTCTAAAGTGTTCGTGTACATAATATACTCAACCTCCTAACCTATCTTAAAAGTGGTAGTCACATCATAGAAAGATGTAAAAAATATAATATTATTGTTAAAATAAGTGTAAGTCACAGGTATAAAACTAGTTATGCTCCGAGCCATTGCGAAACGCAGAATTTAAGGAAAATGAACTGAATGCAGTGTTACACCTCATTCCCTGGTACATCAAACATGTAGCTTAAATAAGAAAAAATAAAATTCTATTCTATTTAAAAATGTAATTATTAAAAAAAAAAAACAACAGCATTTCTTTAGCGCAATTGCACGAATGTGCCCTCCCCTTACTGTTATTTAGGAATACAAGAGAAAATTTAAAAAAAAGGGGGTGGGGGAGATCACTCCCACTTTATTGAAAGCTTTTTTTTCCTTCTTAGTAAGTCCTTTCATTTTTAATTATGACCATTTTTTTAAAATTTAAATCCGCAAATAACGAATAATTTAAAAAGGCAATACAATGTTTCTTAAACATGGTGTTTCGAATTTGAGTGACCTTTAGTCCAAGATGTTTAAATTGTAGATACAAACTAAAAAAAGCTTAATTAAGTGGCCGTTTGTTGATTCTTACTTGAGTTCAATACATCAAACTAGTTGAGTCATAAACTGAACCACATATGATCAGACACCATTTGAATTCGTACAGACCTATCGTTTAGCATTAAACAATGATGGATCACTATTTGATTTTATTCAGTTCATTTTCGTGTAAGATTTTTAAACTTAACTTTTATTTTTATAACTAATAAAAGGGTCTCTGCATCAGCTTACAATTTAATATTCTATTACGTAAGTGTAAAAAAGCATGTAGTCTTGGCTATCCCTATAGGACTTTGTGGCCTTGAGGTAGAGTGCTAGGCGGTTCGGGCCTGTGCTGACCACATTTGGCCAAGGTAACAGAAACAGGTAAACTCTACTTCACTTGCTCCATCGACCATCAGGATTGAAAAGGGAACTTTAACTTATTTATTTTGCTGTCCCTAACTAATAATGGGTTTCAGTAGGTAGTTTTATATATATATATATATATATATATATATATATATATATATATATATATATATATATATATATATATATATATATATATATATATATATATATATATATATATATATATATTATCGTAAAGTGATGTTAGAGCACTAGCCACGCATTTCAAATGTCAAAGCTGTTGCTCTTGTAGCTTGAAGATGCTGCTCATTGTAAATGTTCTTAAAAGGCTTGTGACCATTCACTTATTAACACATCACGCGAAGCGACTGATAAAACTTGCATATAAATTGTTGGCTATTATTTTGCAATATTCACCCGTTATCTATCATGTTTTTGTGAAATTAAATACATGTTTATATAAATGTAATGTAAAAGAAATATTGACATATTAACCCTCTCTCATTTACTGAATAAAGGTTTAACTCATTAGCCAGACAGACTAAAAGAGGGCTAAGAATGAAGCATTTCTCTATGTTAACAGACGCTTTATCCCCCAGCACATGGCACAACCTGGTTGGACATGAGGGTCTGTATGGTCAGGGGACAACCCACGGTCTCAAGCCTTAGCTTGTCAACTAAAATGCTTTTATTATTTCATTCCTTTTTAATTAGCCATTGTGACAACACACTCGGTACAAGTTCTAGAGTTTGAATGCTCAGAAACATGTTCCTATGTTGATAAAAACATAACACCCTGTGAGCCGGACCATCAAGTGGATTTTAGGAAGGCATCAACTAGAGTAAGTTTGTAGTCTATCAGATATTATGAATATTATAACATATTTATAATTTTGAACTATTAGATTTTTCATTCGTCACCAACTCTATGTGACTATGTGGGTCACTTAACCTAGTTTCTTAACGCGGCCAATGTAAATAAAATGCCGAAGTTGAGATGATTCAGCACGATTTTTTTTCTAAATTTCACAATATACATTAACAAAAAATAGCATAAAAACAATTTAAAAATCACGTATAAACAACGAAAAAATGATTATAATTTCATGTATACTAATTTTAAAAAAATGTATGATAGTTATTTCTCCATTGTAATTAGTTTAGTTAATGCTTAAATTCAATTTAGACACAGATGGATTTCAAAGCAGACGAAACAGCGTCATCAACACTAATAACCGCGATAAGAAACAGCTGCAACACAAGACGGGTCTGTGACATCACACAACTGGAGATTGAAACAACAAAGTTCCACTCCCGCCACAAAGTCGATGGAATTTTTATAGAAATCGTCTGCATTCCTATCAGTAATATTTTTGATCATTCATCGCCCTAGAGGAGATGGTTAAAACTAAGTAATAGGATATCAACATTTCAAAAAATATTGTCCACTTGTTTTCAGAAATGTTATACTCTTAATACTACACTTTCTAAAATTTAAACGAACTAATGTCATTTTAATAGAATATGGTGTAGCATAAATATTCTTGGTCTCTAGAGAAAGGTTCCTTCTTAAAACTTTACAGCTCTCCTAAAATCTTTGATCAATCTTTCGCTGGCGACAGATCACGCGAAAACAATTATTTCATTATACAACGATAAAACGCTCATTTGATCCGTTTATAGGTCATTAGTGTACCCCAACGGTTATATAGGTGGTACCCGGCCCATACTGCCCCTACCTCCCGTGTGTGTATTAACGTTAATTAAAATATTGCTAATTGAAATTTAATAAATACTTGTTAGGTCATCATTAAATTCATTATCCATTTCTTACAGTGGAAAACATGAAGGTGACAAATATAACAATACTTATAGACACAAACAGCATCAATTTTACCTGGGTGGCTGGAACAAGTGGCAGACTAAATGCCTCATACACCATAGTAGAAAGGCACGATAACATAATTGTACAAGCTGGTAAAAATGGAGGGGGTGTATTGAATCTTACACCTGGATCTCTATACATCTTTTTAATTAAAACAACGATACCTGCAAGCGACTACTATCCGGAGGAAAGTGTTGAAGTGCCTGTACCATTTATCTGGACAAGTATGTTTAAAATAATTAAAGTTAATGTTTCAATCAAACTGCACTTATTGCTACTTTAGCCGTGCATGATTGTTTCATGATATCTAAGATCACGGTGAAAACTTTTAACATAATCCAAAACGAAACAATGCAGGACATGTTCCATTCTTTTTTG